TATCATTATTTTTGAGATACAAAAATCAATATTTTAAAGCAAGATATTTTTCTGTGATATAGAAAGTAAAATAGGATATATCTGTTTTTATGAATAAGATTTTAAATAATGTATCTCTAGTTTTCAACGTTTATAAAAAATATCTCATTTTTCTATATATTTATATAATATAAAAAATTATATAAGATTTATGACCTGTTATTGACTAATGTATGAAATAAATACTATGTATAATATCGAATAGAATATAATGCTTATTTCTAATAACAAAAAACCTCGTTGAAAAATAATTGAATTATATATAATATGTATTATATAAAATGCAAGTATTATATATATAATAAAATTGCTTTTATTAGAAATAAGTAACATTTATATCTTCTTATTCAGATAAAGAGCATATCACAAAGTTACACATGCATTAAACATATCGCATAGGAAGTCTCTCACAAATTAAATCTCTTTTAGCAACATTTGCTCGTTCTTGTGGCGCAGCATCTTGATAAAAATAATTATTATCTTCTTCCTCATTAATTGCTTCAAGTTCGATGTTATCTCCTCTTAATAGGCAAACATTATGCATTACACAACATGCGACTATAAACATTGGAATTAAATCACTTCTATCCATTGCAAGAAGAGTTCTTAAACTACGAAATCTTGTCTTCAATAACCCAATAGCCCTTTCAATCTCTATTCTGGCAGAAGAATGGCAGAAGTTGAAATTTTTTTGTCTTAGAGTGAGATGTCCATTGTCACGATAGGGAACAATGACATTTTGGTGTAGTTTATATGCAGCATCTCCGAGAATGTGACAATCGTCAGGAAATTTTTCAGGATTCCCTAACCACTCTTGCAATTCCGATAATCGAAATACTCGCTGGTCGTGCACAGACCCTGGATGTCCCGCGAAGCAATGAATAAACTGTGTTTTATGATTACATACTACCTGAAAAAACAAAAATGAGCTTACATAAACCTACATTATATTTACACACACGTACACATACACTGCATATCTGCAGTTGGACAGAATGGTGTCCTTTACAATTTACATATGATGCTGGTTGAACACGAGGAGCTGGAATATTTATGTGAGTACCGTCTACTGCGCCAATAACTTTCGGAAAACCACTATTAGCTTCAAATCCAGCTGAAACTTCATTGACATTGTTGCCTGATGGCCATTTGATGACAGCTGGTGCCAAATCATATAAAGCTTTTACAACTCTTCGTGTAGCACCAAGAGCAGTAGCTCGACTGACGTCAAACTTTTCACATATGGATCTAGAAAAAAATTAGCAATCATAGACCAGATTACTACAATTTTATTTAAAAAAATATCAATTTCACATGTAATATTCACCTATAAGAATCAGGAGTTGCCATGCGCCATATCGCAATAAGAAATTGCTTCTCAGGAGAAATCATTGGTCGTCCAGTATATATTCTTTTCAATTTTGGAGCGATAATGGTAAGTACATATTCGAATGTATCTCTAGATATTCTGCGTCATAAAATAAAAGTACAGGACAAAATTGTTAATAAATGAATGCATGAATGCACATACAAAAATAACTAAGGTTAAGTGCATGTATAATTGTTTAATACAAATATGCCATGTACAATTTTCAAATTACCTAAAATGTGATTTGAATTGTTGATCACTATAGGCAGGTACAATGTTCTCTACATAGTTTTCCAATCTTAACAGCTTTTTTTTTCTTTCCTGCACGTTCATAATATGTTCCAATACATCTTCTTCTTCACTTTCTGATGATGAGGTAAAATTAATAATCTCCATCAAAGTTATTGCGATTCCACGCAAAATTGCAACCTGTTGTGGTGTTACGACAATACGGTTATTTTCGTCCATATTTGTCACAATTTATCCTGCTCACGGATAACAATGCAATAAAAGTCGTTCGAAGAGCTTATAATCATAAGCGCCTGTAAGCGCCACGGTAGCTCCACGAACAACTGAATTGGCGTTAGCGTCTCATAGCGCGAATAGCGCCTCCCCGAACGCACCCTGAGTGTTGATGCGTCAGCTGTGTGCTGTTATCGTACGTGTCGTATCTTAGAAGTATCAATAAAGTGTCAATGAAGTGTCAATATGTCAAATTGTTTTGTAAAAAATTGTAAGAGTCGCATGAATTATGTGTTTAACAAGAATTAAAGTATTTCTCATTTCCTAAAGATCAAGAGTTGCGATTGAAATGGATTGAGTTGTGATGTACACTTAAAATACGCGCGTCTCCGCTTGGGTAACTGATTGGTCGAAATTTTAAGCCACGCCCTCAATGCCGCCATTATGTGCAATGGTTCACCTTGTATATTTCCATCATGTGCTGGTCCACAACCAGATCACCGCGATCAGTCCATTCAAGCGATTTTATTTCGCGAATAGTGTCGAGTGACTTTTCCAAAGCCTCTACACTTCCAGCTAAGGGTATTTTCCAATCGTTGGGTCAACCCTTCCATTGGGTCCAAACCTGCACAGAGATCGGATCACCGACAGTTATTCCGAAGCCCAGAAACTTTTAAACAACAGTAAGTCTCTTCTTCTAACTATTTACCCCGCGAACCAGATCACTCTCTACCGAAATATTAACCCCTCTCAGTGTCTCTGCACCCTTAATTTGCTTCCATAATTCACCTGTCATCCTTATCCTCTCACATTTATCGATTTCTTCGATGAACTCTACATCCCTTATTTGGAAGTTCGCTTAATTCGCGAACTTCACTTTTTTATATCTCCCTTCCTCTTGTTATGCAGAGCCTGATAATAAAGCATGTCATTTAATTATCGTAGTGAGTGATCGACAACGCGCACGCCCTTTCCGTGCAGCTAAACGGCTACGCGCCCAACGGTTGAGAGAAGCCCGTCGGCTCTTGGAGGAAGCCTACGACGAATTCCGCGCTAGTATTAATGAAAACAACAGGAATAATGAAAACGCTAATTTAATAAATAACAGGAGTAATGATAATGCTAGTTTAGTAAACAACAGGAATAATGAAAACGCTAATTTAGTAAATAACAGGAGTAATGATAATGCTAGTTTAATAAATAATAGGAATAATGATAATGATAATTTATTAGATAACGATAGTAATAATGACGATTTAGTGGATAACAATAGCAATAATGATAATTTAATAGATAATGCTAGTCATCCAGTCCTCCTCGGTCCCCCTCTCCTGCAATAGTTCATCCCGTCGCAACCCCTCCTCCTCGGACTCCTTCACCTGCCTTCTCTCGGACGCTCTAACCGAACGTATTTTTCCCGACACTCCGCCTTACACTCCCGATTCTTCCATTCAGTGAGTCCCTTCGTTTCCTCATTCTGTTTCTCTCGCTGACTCATTATCAAACGTGGAGCTCTTATTCGAATTCCCCCCTCCTTGCCCTCGTTATCATTTCCATCACGGAAATCCTCAATGCCTAGCCTCCCTTTTTTCCCGATTCCAAATATCCACCGAACCTCTTCCCCCGAATACATTCACTATCAATTTTATAGATGCAGATCCTGATAGCGTCCGAAATGCAATAAATGGCCAATCACCCGAAGTCCTTATCCCAGTTTACATCCCTCACTCCCCTCATCCTTTCCTAGTCCCCGTAGCCTTCTTCCTAAATTTCTTTCCCCCCTCCTCATGTGTAATTAGGGAAATAAGATGAATACAATTTATTACAGTCCTACACACACGCGCGCACGTGTAATTATAACAGCAATTGACTCGCAGTATTGCACAAGATGAAGAATGCGTGGAAAGTTATATTATAGATGCATAATCTTGTAAATTTATATATTTTATGGTTTGTTATGATATTATATTTGTCGCAACATTGAGAGTAACTCGATTGTAATCCAAACGTATGTTTGTTCTTTGTAACATTATTTTATCTTCATGATTTAAATTGTAATTTAATTATAAATTTAAATACTAATGTTCAACTTAGTCATACCTCTTTAATATACCTAAGATTTAATATTAACAATGAAATAGAATATGTTGAACATGACGTTCCTCAATCTACATTTATTCTAGAATTATAAGACTTCGTACCTACTCCCACCCCGCGTCAGAAATCGCATATGGTTCAGTCCCGAGTTATAAGGATTAAGTTCCTTGGCCGGTATACATAGTCAGATCTTATATTTAAGACCGTCTTAAGTACAGTCTTAAGATGTCATGAACCAATCAGAGGGCCGCATTAGCGACTTAAGACATTACTTAAGATAGTCTTAAAATAAGAATCGACTATGAATACCGGCCCTTGACTCTAAATTCGGACCGACGTTCGCACTGCTCGTCGGAAACAAGCATCATAGCGTCCCTTCAGGACGTTGACCCATATTCCAGAGCAATAAAAGGTGCGTTTGACTAGCTCCATCCCTTTCCCGCGGATGCATGCAAGACATAGCGTCTGCTCTAACGTCCTTTCATGCTTCTTCCTTCTTATCCTTTTCTTTCTCTAAACCTATTCACCCACATTATCGGAGCTTGGATGTAACAGCGCTATTGGCTATACGAACAGTGTTAGTAGCGTTTGCGTTGGTAGTGTTGATAGCGTCTCCCCGAACGTACCCTAGGAGCTGTAAGTTTATTGGCTACCGCATTACATTTTGCCGCGCGGCAAGCGTTTCTGTGTCCAGTGTGCAGAAGCCATTAAAGTGAAACAAATACGTTTGTTCAACTTCAACTTATTGCCATAGTATAACTACTGTGTTATTGCACCGATTCAGAGTGTAGCAATAAAAAATAGACCTAGAGGTCGAGTCTGTATCTTCAAAAAAGGTGAAAATTACAAAAGTGAGTAAATTTACTAGGTGTTAGCTGTTAGCCAATTAAATTATCAGTATTCTAGTAAATTCGCTCACTTTTGTAATTTTCACCTCGTTTCAAGGTGTTCGGCAATCATAACTGACGGTGCGAAAGCAATGACAGGATCGAAAATTGGATTTGTTGGTCAAATAAAGCAGCGAGGTTTAAAGTTTCCTATTATACATTGCATTATTCATCAGGAAGCGTTATGTGGGAAAGTTGTTAAACTGTGTAGTGCAATGCAAACCGTCACCAAAATTATTAATATGATTAAAGGTGGTCATAAATTTCTTTCACATAGGAAGTTTCAACAATTTCTCGAAGAGCATAACGCAGTTTATATAGATGTGCCTCTGTATTGCGATGTTCGGTGGCTTAGTGCAGGAAAATGTCTAGAAACATTTTTTACAATAAGAAAAGAGATCTTTCTTTTCTTGCAAGATTTCGATGTAAAATATGATGAATTCAAATCTTTTTTTCAAGATTTAGACTCTGTCTGCAAGCTTGCTCTTTTAACTGTGTTGATTTAACAAATCACTTAAATAATTTAAATCTAAAGCTGCAGAAAACTGACCAAACTATTTCACAATTAGTTTCTCACATCGATTCATTTAAAAGAAAATTAAAATTATTTAAAAATCAAATCGAAAATAATATATTTCATTTTTATCCATCTTGCCAAATTATCTTCGAAGAACATGGCACAAATTGTAACTTCCAAAAACATTTATTTTTAATAGAATCCCTGATAAACCAATTTGATAAGCGTTTCAAAGATTTTGATATCCTTAGGAAAGATTTAATTCTTTTTGAAAATCCTCTCACTGCGCAAATCGAGGAACAAAGCCCAGATCTTCAGATAGAACTTTGCGATTTGCAATGTGTTCTTTCTCTAAAAAATCGATCAGAAAAGGGAGTTAATTTTTAAAAAATTTTAAATGCATCAGATTATCCATCTCTCAGGAATTATGGTCTTCGTATTTTCTCCATGTTTGGCTCCACATATTTATGCAAATGCTCATTTTCCAAAATGAAATTGATCAAAAATGATAAACGTTCCTCTTTAAGCGATGCGTCATTATCCTCGTTGATGCGAATTACTTCTTCCAAAATCTCTGTGGATGTACCGTCTTTAGTGGAATCATGCAAACGACCCAGAAAATCGAATTAATATTTCTATGCAAATTGGTTGTATCAATTTCTTTTGATTCCTGTTTATTTTTATATGTATATTTCATCATACAAAATTTTGCCTTCCTGCCGAGCCAATTGATTATCTTTTTCAGTGGAATAGGCCTGCTGGGGAAACCACTTAAAAAAAAACGCGTCAACAATAGTACCTCACGGGTGATGTGGAAAACTATTGTAAAGAACTCTAATTATATTATACACATTATATATTATTGCTACAATTATATTATTATATATAGAGCATATTAATACATTAATAATAGAAAATTTAGTACTTGATTTTTTGAAAAAATAAAAATTATTTAGCAAGAAAGATTCTTCAATGACGGAAGATACGACCCTAGCACGTTTAAGATATAGGGACGCTCCTGAGCCAGAACGTCACGTGAGCGGTCGGCGGCTCGGCCGCTGAGACTCGAGTGGTAGTGGGTCGCTCGCCGAAATCAGCCTGAAATGTGTATCTAGTGCCGAGCACTGGTCCAGACCAAAGACATAGGTCGCGTTCAGCAGACTCAACTGTGTGAAGCAAATCCGTGAGCACTCGCTGCTATTGGTGTATTCTTCTAGATCATTCAATAGCAGCGAGCGCTCACGGATCCACTCCACAACAGTTGAGTCTGCTGAACGCGACCATAGAGAATGGACTGCGTATCTAAGTAGTGTATCAAATGTGGTCGACAAGAATGAGAGAGAGGGACCGTGGGACTGGCCAATTTCCCTCTCATTCTCTCTCCCATTACACCATTGAATGGAAAGAGATAGAAATGATCGTCTGCCACGGTCCCTCGACCATTTTGACACGGATCCCGCAATCCATTCTCTATGTCTTTGGTCCAGACTCTTTACTCTAGGGAC